CCTATAATACAAGTAAATAACTTCTCTATTTTATTTAATTTCAAATTACCATAACTCTCTGGCAACTACGCCAAAAACTTGATTCGAACTTATTTTGTGATCTGATTTATATTACACACCCAGGTATAAGTGATCGAATTATAGTTTTCTCAGTTTAAGTCCAAGATCGATCCCATGAAAAGTTTTAATAATTGGAATTTAAAATAAGAACAGTGAAGTTATTGTTAAAGTAGTGTAACATGAGATAGCTTGTGATGTGAGCTTAGATTGATAACTAGCCTAAGTAAATGAAATGTGTAAATAAATTGTTAAAAGACAATAATATGAAAAGTACCTTTCAGTTTAAGGATCTCATGGTTAAGTACTGAAAATGCTACCTTACAACAATTAACTTCCAAGTCACTGGAAAGTCAACCAGTAGGTCTGATGTATATAAACCACACCAGAACAACTTCTTAGGTTAGCTTGGTGGTATTATTAACCATAACACAACAACTTCTTAAGTTAGCTGATAGTATAATTAAACCATAATACAATAACTTCTTAGGTTAGCTGGTGGTATTATGTGTCAATTGACTAAACCAAGTAAACCAGAAGGTCAAACCATTCATGAAGATCACTTGAATTACTCAATTGACTTTATTATAGTAGGCATCAGTTAAACAACCCTAATAATCCAGAAGAAAAAGTCATTCAGGAGGATCATTTAGGTTATTCATCTGACAACTTTTTTATCTTGTATCAGTTAAACAACCTCAGTAATACAAAAGGACAAGTCATTCAAAAGGATTACTTAGATTATTAATCTGACAATTATACCATGCAATAGTTAAAACATCCTCAATGCACCTGGAGGTCAAGCCATACCGTTGGAACACCATAGATATTCAACTGACAGATTGATGATTCACTGATGACATAATTTTGGGCTACGTAGTAACACCCAATTACATACATCATTGTATCATGAATGAAGTTCATAATAATAGATAGTATAGATTATAAAATATCGCTCAGTGTTCATAACCATGAGCACTTTATATATATATATATATATATATATATATATATATATATACACACACACACACACACACACACACACACATAGAGCTTAATAAAATATCAGCATTTCCATAGTTTAATCAATATTGTATATATGTTTACCCCTTACTGAAGGATATAAGTAACTACTCACACCCCATTACTATAGACATGCAAGAAGTGCAGGTAATTATCATTACAACATTAAATAAAATACAGACACTGACACTGACACTTCTTTCGCAAGGAACAATTGAAATACAACCACCCTTAATTTCAGTTAAGGCGCAAAGGTGGTGGCAGTTCAATTCTTCAAATAGAAAGACATAACAGAAATGTAGAAATACAGATTTTTGGCTGGAGAGTAGGACAAACCGGATATTGAATTCTCTCCATAGCTTTCTATTTTCTTTCTCTTTTCTTTGGATTTCTTCTGGTGCTCCTAAGCTTCCCAAGTCTCTCTCTAACTCTCTCTTTCCCAGGCGGTTTCAAATGAAGAGACAACCCCTATATTTATAGGCAACTAGGAAAACAGGAGGTGGAGGATCATGATCAACTACTTGGAGCCGCCGTTTGGACACCACCACCACCGTCTAGACAATGGTGCTTTTTTGGAAAATTGATATTGATCCTCTTGTTGTTCTGGCCATTTCTTGGTTATTTTACAATTGCCTCCCTTTTTGTTCCAAGCTTTGACAGATTGTTGTTTATACTTTTCGGTAATTTTGCCCAAAAACTTGAAATTTTAAACATATCACACATAAAACTTTAGCTTACACACAAACCCTAATTTACAGTTTTTAACTGATTTATCTTACATAATGTAATTATGTAATTATATTAATTCACATACTAATTAGGGTTAATCACCGACCTAACATGTAAGGGCAACAAAACTAAATCAGGTTGCATTCTATTTGTTTGACTTAAACATCGAAGGGTCAACTCCCAGAGTCCTATCAGTCTTTGACTTTATTTTCAAATAGAGAGTTTGTCCCATTTGGTTGTGGTGTGCAACTATTCGAAATTCAACATCGACTTCGACTCTGAACCGATTCCGCCTCTGTTAGAGTTANTTTACAGTTTTTAACTGATTTATCTTACATAATGTAATTATGTAATTATATTAATTCACATACTAATTAGGGTTAATCACCGACCTAACATGTAAGGGCAACAAAACTAAATCAGGTTGCATTCTATTTGTTTGACTTAAACATCGGAGGGTCAACTCCCAGAGTCCTATTAGTCTTTGACTTTATTTTCAAATAGAGAGTTTGTCCCATTTGGTTGTGGTGTGCAACTATTCGAAATTCAACATAGACCTCGACTCTGAACCGATTCCGCCTCTGTTAGAGTCAGAGACAAAGTCGGAGTAAAATGACAAGCTTTGATCGGAGCTAGAGCCTAAAATGTGTTCCGAAAAAACTCCAAATTTTATTAATTAATAAATTTATATAAATTATAAATTATTTAATATATTCATATAAATATAAAATTACTCCTCTTTCCTAAATCCCCAACCCTCACTTCCCATCTCTCTCTCTCTCTCTCTCACACACACACACAAATAGAGTTTAAGAGCTACCCCATATCTTAGTCGAGCCACAACCACTCCATATCTCAGTCAAACGTCCAACCCCGATTCTCATTCAACGAGGAACGCCAAATCTCTAGTTGACAAGCAACAANAATGACAAGCTTTGATCGGAGCTAGAGCCTAAAATGTGTTCCGAAAAAACTCCAAATTTTATTAATTAATAAATTTATATAAATTATAAATTATTTAATATATTCATATAAATATAAAATTACTCCTCTTTCCTAAATCCCCAACCCTCACTTCCCATCTCTCTCTCTCTCTCTCTCACACACACACACAAATAGAGTTTAAGAGCTACCCCATATCTTAGTCGAGCCACAACCACTCCATATCTCAGTCAAACGTCCAACCCCAATTCTCATTCAACGAGGAACGCCAAATCTCTAGTTGACAAGCAACAATCAAAGAACAAACTAGATCTGAATTGAAGAACAAACCAAATCTCGCTATCCCCTTCTATGATGAGATCTCAACGAACCAACATGGTGGATCTCAAACTAGATATGAAATTTCTATTCCTCGGTTATCTTATCTTCTTCCGTTTCACTTGGGTAGTGGGTCATCAATTAAAGCTTCAACAATGGTGAATCTTCAAAGTTTGTGTTGTATTTTTTTTTCCTGATATTTTTGCCTTTAATTTGTTGAGTATTTGTCTTTCGTACTGCCTTTAATTTGTTTAGTATTTTTGTTCCTTTGTTCATCAATTGTTTTGTCCAATTTTGAAATTCTGATTTGCCTCCGCTCCACCTCCGAAAAGTAAAAATCGGAGAGGGAATTTATAGTAGTCTGAGGGCAAAATACATTTCAACTGAAGTTAGAGTCGAAGTTCAGATGAGTGTTTTTCGACTTCGATGGAGTTAGAGCCCAACCCTACCAGCTGCCACATTAGGGAGATCAAATTTTGGCATCAACATATAATATTAAACTTGATCGGGTTAGTAAAATCTAAAAATCAGAAGATGTGCATCTAATTTTTTTTTATCACAATTTGCATCCAAACTTGGGAGCACAAAAAATGCCATTTTGTTCTTAAAAAATGGAACCTCAAGGGGGGTATAATAGTCAATGGATGAACACAATATTTAGAAAACGTTCATGGAATAAAAATAAAAAAAGACTAAAAACGTCTAAGGGAGAATTACATTCAGATCTCCTCAGATTTGTCACTTAATAACTCAAATTCCCTGACATATGAAATACTATACATAAATCTCCTAAGGTTTGTACTTGCATAATACTTACACTCCTTTCATTAATGTTCGTATATCTATTCCTAAGTTACATTCAGATCTCCTGAAGTTTATAGGCGTATAATACTTAGACCCCTTAAATTTAAAATATTATACTTAGACCAAAAATACTTCAATCAAAGATAAAATATCAAATATTTTAAATTTTACAACTAAAATTTATTTTTATTATGAAATTTATTGAAATAAAATTAAAAATAAAAATCTAATTTTTTTGTTAAAAAGTAATAATTAGTATATAATTATACTATATATTAGAATATAAATTGGTCATTTAAATGATCAAATTAACCTAACAAATTATTCTAATTAAAGATACAAGATATTGTATCAATTACAGTTTGATACTTTTTTTTTTGATTTTTTAAGTTTTATTCCAATATATAGTATATTTGTATACTAATTATTATTATTTAAGAAAATGAATAAATGACATAATAGAACATAAATTTTGGTTGTAAAATTTATATTCAATTATAAATGAGTTAAACCCCTTATTTGATTTTTTTAGTTTTATTCCAATAAATAGTATAATTGTATACTAATTTTAATTTTTTTTTANTTTATATTCAATTATAAATGAGTTAAACCCCTTATTTGATTTTTTTAGTTTTATTCTAATAAATAGTATAATTGTATACTAATTTTAATTTTTTTTTAAAAAAGGCTTTTATTTTTTATTTTACTTCAATAAATGATATAATAGAACATAAATTTTAATTGTAAAATTTAAAATATTTGATATTTTATATTTAATTAAAATATTTTTTATCTAAATTTAATATTTTAAACTTGATTAATCTAAATATTATACGTCTATAAACTTCAAGGAATCTACTTATAAATTAATTAACGGATATATTAACGGATATTTGACGACAGTGATCTAAATTTTACGCGCGTACAAATTTCAAGGGTTTGTATATAATATTTTAAATGTGANAAATTAATTAACGGATATATTAACGGATATTTGACGACAGTGATCTAAATTTTACGTGCGTACAAATTTCAAGAGTTTGTATATAATATTTTAAATGTCAGGAGCGTCAGTAATTAAGTTATGAATTTCAAAGCATTTAAGTATAATTTTTCGAAAGCACGAAGCGGTAAAGTCGCATGCGTCAAATTAGATAAACCGATCACGTCCGCGGATGCAACGCCGACGGTCATACTACATCAAATTATCTTTGGAAAAGTCTTCAGCTGATATAAGACGCAGACTCTTGTCCGGATACAACGAACAGCGAAGAGAGAGGCTAAACTCATCCAGAATCATCTCTGTAGCTTCTGGGTAGTTCCAGTTTTCTAGATTCTTCGAGAGACGAGAGGTAGCAAGACGAGATAGAGGCAATGACGGAGCAGCTGACCGACGACCAGATCTCCGAATTCAAGGAGGCCTTCAGTCTATTCGACAAGGATGGAGACGGTTTGATTCTCTCTTTATCTCTCTCTCTCTCTCTCTATATATATGTGTGTGTGTGTGTTTTTTTTCTTTCTTTCTTGTTATCAGATCGGCTTTGATTTTGAAGTGGGTTGCTGATGACTTTGATCCTATCCCATCCCATAGTTCCCCTTGATTTCAGATCACGACTATTGCAAGTTTGATCCATTTGCATATGTGGGATACTTTTTTGAATATTGCTACCTTTAATACATGGGCTGTTTAAATAGTTAATAGAATACCTGGGTCGTGGTTGTCCCAGTGTAGCTCTGGATTTGATTTTAGAGAATGGTAGAGAAGACCCAAGAAAAGGGGAAATAAAATCGAGTTATTAAGTCTGATGTTGATGACTATTCTGTTTTTTTAAGTTGGACGAACAAAGTTCTTAAACATAGCAACCCACTAACTAGAATCAGTAATCTCATGAATCAAACAGAGGGTTGTGGTTTCGAAGATGGAAATTGGAGACACATACCCTTTTTCTTCTTCTAAATCAACGAGACCATATCCTTTAATTATGCATGGCATATAGGGGCTTTTAATATTTTTGGATTAAATATATGTAAACATAGTGGTTTATGTTTCTCGATAGTTGAATGATTGATTTATGGACCCCTATGGGTGTGATGAGAATGAGTAATTTGCCTGGTCTAGGTGGGCTTGAATAAACATGTCATAACTAAAGGATTTGGTTTTTCTGAAATTACAAACTTTGTCATATTCAACAATCTGTGGTTAAATTCATTGGGCACCAGGCGGCTTCACTAGTGGTGGATAAGCATGCGTCTTGTTTGACTTGTGGCCCATCATTGTTGTAAATGCTCAACATTTTTTTGTAGACTAGAAAGCTCAAGGGAAACCCTCAATTTGGAGTGGAAATCTCTTCATGTTCGTGTCAGAATACTAATCAACCCTAACTCAATTCATTTAATTAATTGTATCGTGTCAACCTATTTATTTTTGAGTCTTGCTCATATTAATCCATATAACCTGTGAATAAAACATTTAAATCTCAGTTTTGTGTCTAAAATGTCATTATCAATTAATTCAACTTATGCTCATACTTTTTCTATAAACTAAAAATTAATTTAATAAATATAATAAAAAAATATTTTTATACCATAATTATGTCATTATTTAATAAAATATAATAAAAAATTGGCATTTTAGTTTTATAATACTTTTTAATCGTTTCAATTTTATGTTGTTTATATTTGACACAAATTCATTCCATTTATTATTCATGTTAACGGGTCATATCATATACGGGTTTGAGTTGAGAAATCGTTAATCCCAACTAAGTTAATTTCATGTTGATTTAGAGTTGTGTTTTCGTGTTGTGTCAAAAATTGTCATCCCTACCCTCAGGACCCTACATCCAATGTGCAAGAATCAATATGATTATTGCACGTGATTTTAATGACAATTCTATGGTGCATAGTTGCAAGAGCAATGCTACACAGACTTAAAACCTAAACCATGACTTGATAATGTGACTGTAATATTTGTCATTGACTTAATTATGAGTCTCAATATTTATTGGGATTCACTACTTATTCAATGATAGTGATTCATTAAATCAAGTTTTTAAGTCAGTTTGTTATCTTTTTAACATTTTTCTAGTTGCAATAACCTAAGCATGCATGTGATATAACTGTTGTGATTATTGCACTACATTTTTGGAATATAATTATGATTTGTCACCAATATGATTCATTATTAGTAATGTATTTTGGGCGTTGGTGGTCAATATTGTAATTGGGCATAGTGGTGGACAGGTTCTTCTGATTTTTTTTTATGTTCCGTCTTCTCCAAGTTTTTGGTGTCCACGAATATCGGANTTTGGGCGTTGGTGGTCAATATTGTAATTGGGCATAGTGGTGGACAGGTTCTTCTGGTTTTTTTTTATGTTCCGTCTTCTCCAAGTTTTTGGTGTCCACGAATATCGAAATTTTTTTATTGCGGTTGTCTTTCCTGAATTTCATTAATGAAACTTATGTTGGGCTACAAAACCAGTTTTCCCGCATATACCCTTTTTAGCATGGTTAGTGACTTTCACATGCTGATTTTCTATATTGTTTATGCTATTTGTGGAGCTGGATGTTAACTGTTTCAGCCCCTTATTTTTAGTCTGACAGTTGCAGAACTTCGAGTTTTCTGTAAGCTTAGATCAGTTACAAGTATAAGGTTCATTTAATTTTTTGAAGTATTATTTAGGGAAATGATAGAAAAATAGGTAATTGGAACATTTTTGGTTTATAAGTTGATCTTCAAAAAAATTATGCAGGCTGCATTACAACCAAGGAACTTGGTACAGTGATGAGGTCGCTGGGCCAGAATCCTACTGAGGCTGAACTCCAGGACATGATAAATGAAGTGGATGCTGATGGCAATGGAACCATTGATTTTCCAGAATTTCTGAACCTCATGGCCCGAAAAATGAAGGATACCGACTCTGAGGAAGAGCTGAAAGAGGCATTCAGAGTTTTTGACAAAGATCAAAATGGGTTCATTTCTGCTGCAGAACTGCGCCATGTGATGACAAACCTGGGAGAGAAGCTCACTGATGAAGAAGTCGATGAGATGATCCGGGAGGCTGATGTTGATGGCGATGGGCAGATCAACTATGAGGAGTTTGTTAGGGTGATGATGGCCAAGTGATATGGCAAGAAAATGATTGTAAAAAAAAAAAAAAAAAGGAAAAAGTCCTAAAACATTGGATGAAGAGGGTTGAACGTAATGGGTTTCTAGTTTCTTTTCACTATTTTATCCGATGGTTTTAAACTCAAAACTTGCGAAGGATTTAGTCCTCTCTCGTAAGGGTGTGGTGGGTTATTGTTTCCCTCCTTGTGTATGTTGTGCCTTGTGACTCTTGTATTTGGGCATCTATTAATTTTTGCCCTTCAAACTTGTCCCGGTTTCTAATTAGCCCTGCCAACTTTAATGGTCTCCGTTGGATGGATGATTTGTGCTAATGGTGGGGTATGATTTTTTTATTCCATTGTGCATGATTTTTTGTTCCATTGTGCTCGTTTGTGTCATGGCATTAATAAACGGGAAAGGGCAGGCACCAACCCCTTATCCTGTACATATCTTGATCATCTAACGCAGCATGAATTGCCAAGCCTGCACTCAAGAATAGTATTGTTTTGAAAAATGCATGATTAAGAGAGCAACAAGGGTTATACCCCATCACATTAAACACCAACTGAATATAGCATTGGGTGTTTTAGAGAGCAATGAGGGTTTACCCATTGGCCTTAGTTGATCTAAAATCTTCATCTTCGCGTATGAATTATTGAACGGCCTCGTATTCTTATCAGGGTTAAGGAATCCATTAAGCATCTCAGCGGCCTATGTTCCCTAGTTACAAATTTGTCACCTTGATGATTACGGGTAGCTTCAGGTCATCTGGTAGTTCTAAATGCCGGATAGTTCTGGTCATTAATGCCGCTTTTGTTGCTGCTTGGATGCACGGCTCCTACAGATTGGTTTCGTGAAGATACATTGCAATTCGGGATTTTGAAACAAACAAAAGGAGATGCATGCCACAATTCTGAACTTGTTGAAACATTATTTCTGACTCACCAAAAGAAATAAAGAACCATACACGGAAAAAGGCTTCAGGCCATTAGTGGTTAAATCTTGTCCATTGCTTGCTTGCACTTTGGACAAGCCACTGTGGCTATTACTGTTCGATCGATTATTGTCCCCAAAAATAAGGGGTACGCGTTGGGCCCCACATATTTCAATGGTGGGATTCTATGGCACGTTGTAGTTATTGTAGTTAGGGTTGATAATTAAACTGAGCTACTTGAGCTTGACTTGAGTTCGGATTGGGTTTGGCTCGTTGAGGCTCGATTCGTTTAATAAACGAGTCCAAACTTGAACAAGTTTTTAGGCTCGTTTAGAAAACAAGTCCTATAAGTTCACCNACTTGAGCTTGACTTGAGTTCGGATTGGGTTTGGCTCGTTGAGGCTCGATTCGTTTTATAAACGAGTCCAAACTTGAACAAGTTTTTAGGCTCGTTTAGAAAACAAGTCCTATTAGCTCATCTCAAACTCAACAAGCTCGGCTCTATTATGTGCAAATATTCGATCTCGGCTTGGGCTCGACTCAGGTTTGGCTCGTTTTCTAAACAAGCTGAACTTGAACAATTTTTAAAGCTCAATTAAGAAACAAGCTTTTTAAGCTCGGCTCGAACTCGACTCGGTCTTGTTCGACTAACAGCCCTAATTGTAGTCACCGCCTACATTTCCTCAAAACAATTTTCAAGCAAGCTTTCATCGGTTGTTTTTTTTTTTCCTTTTCCAGTAAGTAGCTTTCATTGTTTTATCTCCATTTAAGTTGGCTTTTTTATGAAGCCATAGGTGATTCGCTGATAGGTGTTCATCACAATGTATCCCTCAAACATTAGCAGCTATGCCAAACAGACTGTAATCTCTGCTTCAAGTTACGAGTTTCATACATTCATTGTTCATTTATGAAAGTGTTTACACCCAAAATAGCAAAAATCAAGGGTGATACGTGGAATAGATCTAACTATCATTGAAGAGTCTGTGAGAATCCATGATTGACAAAATGATTAGGGGGTAAGACTCTAAGAATCCTGGGAAACTAGAAGACGTGACATTATGAGACGCCAGTTAGAGACGATTCAACGCACATCGATGCATCTCGAGGATAAAGGCCATGATCACAGTAATTGCCAAAAAAAATGGCTTGGCAGTTGGAAGTCATCCCTATAAATAACAGAGGCCACGTCATAGAGAAAAGATCCCGCGATCAAACACAACAATCTACATAGCCTATCTTATACTCACTTATTCTTAGTCCCGAACAATTTTATTTTTCTTGTAATACATCATTCTGGTAATCTATAGTTAGTGCTTCCCCTATATATGCCTCCACAGAGGGCGCAGCAAGCCAGAAATGGCCAGTGGAGGAATAACAATCCACTTTTTCAGGAGGATGTGGCCCCTAATTCTGAGTTTGGGGGAAAAGGAGGCAACCGACAATCATTCTTTTGTGCTTGTTTTGGCTAGATCCATTTGGGTAGTTGATTGACTTTGTCTTGAAATGCAATGTGCTCTCCCATGCCTATCTAGAAATGATCTTACGCCATCTTTGATTTGCTTTGAGCCTTAGCCTTTTTCTTGTGAAAAGTTTATCCCTAGTGTCGTGATTGACCCTTAATCATAAATTCGTTTTCATATCACACATTTGACCAAGCCAATGCAAAATGAGAAAAGTCTGCCTCACCTTGGCTGTTCCTAGAGCTGAATATGAGTGATCATAAAAGAAAAGGAAGTATGGTGTGGAAACTCAAACAAAAGGGATGAATGATGTTGAAACTCAAAGAGTTGAATGGAAAAGAATGAAAAATCCAAGAAAAAAGAGAAAAAAGGGGTGAAAGAAAAAAAAGAATTATCAAAGAAAAAAGGAAAATGTTAAGGACAAGAGGATAAATAAATAAAGAGTGAAGTGATGGTGTTAGCCTAGAAATCCCATAAAAAGGGAGATTTTTTTGAAATAACGGTCATTCACCCGGAACAATCCTCTTTGTTATCCTATATCCTTCATTTCACTTGCCTCAATATCACCCCAAGGCCTCATTACAACCTGTGAAAGTTCTAAATGATCTAGAGAAAGCATGGAGAAAGCATACTTTTAAAGAAAAAAAGAAGAAGTTGATTTTGCTATCTAATGCCCTAGCATTCCTTTCATGAGACTATGCCAAGGTTGTTTCATTTGTATACAGGTGCTTTATTTTTGATTTATATGTGAGCATACTTCGGTTTGTGCATAAGATTCTATCTCACATATACACATGGAGAGCATACCAGGATAACCATAGTGTGATTCATTGTTGAGAGACACCCTTGGTGAGTTTGCATCGAAGCTTAATTTGGATAGCCAAAGTGAATGTGAACTCTGTTGTGTAAATATTTAAATTACATATCTATTTCACACACACAGGAGTTTGAAAATGAATGTATATATGAATAGTNCATATCACACATTTGACCAAGCCAATGCAAAATGAGAAAAGTCTGCCTCACCTTGGCTGTTCCTAGAGCTGAATATGAGTGATCATAAAAGAAAAGGAAGTATGGTGTGGAAACTCAAACAAAAGGGATGAATGATGTTGAAACTCAAAGAGTTGAATGGAAAAGAATGAAAAATCCAAGAAAAAAGAGAAAAAAGGGGTGAAAGAAAAAATAGAATGATCAAAGAAAAAAGGAAAATGTTAAGGACAAGAGGATAAATAAATAAAGAGTGAAGTGATGGTGTTAGCCTAGAAATCCCATAAAAAGGGAGATTTTTTTGAAATAACGGTCATTCACCCGGAACAATCCTCTTTGTTATCCTATATCCTTCATTTCACTTGCCTCAATATCACCCCAAGGCCTCATTACAACCTGTGAAAGTTCTAAATGATCTAGAGAAAGCATGGAGAAAGCATACTTTTAAAGAAAAAAAGAAGAAGTTGATTTTGCTATCTAATGCCCTAGCATTCCTTTCATGAGACTATGCCAAGGTTGTTTCATTTGTATACAGGTGCTTTATTTTTGATTTATATGTGAGCATACTTCGGTTTGTGCATAAGATTCTATCTCACATATACACATGGAGAGCATACCAGGATAACCATAGTGTGATTCATTGTTGAGAGACACCCTTGGTGAGTTTGCATCGAAGCTTAATTTGGATAGCCAAAGTGAATGTGAACTCTGTTGTGTAAATATTTAAATTACATATCTATTTCACACACACAGGAGTTTGAAAATGAATGTATATATGAATAGTCTAGAATAGCATTTAAGGCTATGATGTGATTCATGTGTGATTAGTTCGGGTGCATTGGCAAGTTGTTTTTGACATCCCAGTGCTAGTTAGGATAAGGGCATATGTTTTAAATATTGGATACGAGGAAAAGAAGTTTGTAGGTACTTTCACTGGAAACCTTCACGAGACAAAACTCGTCCACTAGGGATTACCTAGGGGTTTAAAGGCTTGTTGCATATACTAAATGCAATAGCGGAATTAGAATAGGTTTATTTTTGTTTGTCAATTTTTTACATTTAGTTTGCTAGGGACTAGTAAAGCTTAAGTTGGGGGGTGTGACGAGCATATAATATTGCATATTTAACGACCTCATTACATGCATTTTAACTCAACTTTGCATTTAATTACTTAGAGTTAGTCGAGTTTATGAATAATGTTGAATTTTTGATGTTATAGGTAATTATAGTGTAAATGATGGCTTTTGGAACCTTGCAACTAAGTATGGATGAGTGGTGAAGAGATGGACATATTACATAAGGATTGGGAGGCTTGGAAGGTGAAGAAACCAAGAAAAATGAAATTTGGATGAAAACCTTCCGGAAGGTTTAGCCCACTGTTTTTCCCATTTTTGACATAGTACCTCTATTTTTCTCATTTTTGACCATGATCCATTTTGAATCTGAAAAAGTACATAACATGAAAGTTGTAGATCTGGACGGTTGGATTAAAATTTATGACAATTTTACAAAAATTAGTCCTAAGTTGGCACCTTCTAGAAGGTTTAGCCTACTGGAATGAACCTTCCGGAAGGTTTGCATCGACCTTCCTGAAGGTTTTGCCCAGAATGCCCAAAAAGCCTGCAACTCAAGCTCCACTTGCCTAGGGGTCCCACAATTGATTTTCCCAAATGTCCCTTGACATCCTTTACACACATACATGCCTCTTCACACCTAGGGGTGGACTTTGGAGGCCAGTGCACTTATGAGGATGGGAGAGAAGGGGGGAGCTAGGGGAGTTGCTGGGTAGGCTGCTCTTAGCCTGGCAATGCATCAACTTAGTCTCCTATGGATGGGAGGCCTGCACACAGGCTATGGGGAGCCTCATGGACGAAGTTTGAAGTCTCTCACACACCATATATTCAACTACACACTCACATTTGAAGAGGGGAGGCNGCGGAATTAGAATAGGTTTATTTTTGTTTGTCAATTTTTTACATTTAGTTTGCTAGAGACTAGTAAA